TATTTAGTCAAGAGCAGTGAGAAATTTATTTGTCCATTCATTGTTTGATTAACATTAAAACAGCAGTGGGTTTATTGAAGTGCTGCCCCTTTAAGACCGAACGCACGGACCCCATGGCTACGTTCACTTGATATACCTGACTTTGTTTACTAACTTATTGACTGCAAACGTCCAGTAATAATGTAGGGAATCACTCGTTATACATAAATCAGGTAACAGGTCATGTTTTACTTTACTTGATTTAGTTGTCATCCAAATAACACGTGCTGAGTGAACGATTTAGCAATCAAGAGCATTCAACAGAACTGCGCTCTCTCTCGTCAGTTAACGTTAATAATAAGCTAGTACATGCCTCGTTTTATTTTCTTTGCCATTGACATCCGACTAAACTACAAACCTTCCACTGATGTCTGTTTAAAGAGATGTGCTCGACCAGCTCGCGTGTCTGTGCAGCTGCGCGCTCAATCCACTGCGCGCGCGGTTTCTCTGATGACCAGCTCGCGCACCACAGCTATGCGTTACTATACACACGCTGCCTGGTAACGTTAGGCCTATCGGTTATTGGTATCGGAGCATTTTTATGAGTACATGAGCTCGGTATTGGTGCACCCCTATAATAATTCAAGCACTTTTCAAGTACCTCTTCAAAAATATGGCTGTTTTCAAGGGTTTTCCAGGACTTAAATTTCAAAAAGTCAAATTCAAGTACTTCAAGCACCTTGTACGAACCCTGATATATATATATATATATATATAACTATATACATATGCATTATTATACTTATCAGATGGCCAACATTTCTGTATTTAAAATCTTTTTAATTGATTTCATGTAATATTCTAATTTTCTGCGATTTTGAATTTGGGGTTTTCATAAGCCATAATCATAAAAATTATAACTTTTGCACGATATTCTAATTTATCCTACGAGTTTGACTTGTGGGCTACCACGGGGCGCTTGATTTTATTATTCTCTTAAATCACTAGATGCACAAAAACACGGCACTTTCCAAAACATCCACTTCTCAACATGCAAGTGGAAATCTGTCTGATTTTCTGCGCCAATTCGATGCGTTTAAAATGTTGTAAATTAAAGGAGCAAATGAGAATCGATCAAATTACTGAATATATTTTGAGACGAAGGTCTGAATGATTTTCAGTTTTGTTTAAGGTAATTGAAGAAAGTTTATCAACAACAGAAGAATATGTAAAAGTGTGGTAATTGGCACAATTATTAACACGATAATAAACAGCTGACTGACTTTTACATTAACACGTTAGATTCAGATGGCAATTATTATATATTTAGTTAGGTGTCCATCTTAGAGATAAATCCCCATAATTATAATGAAACCATCACATTTAAACAATATATTCATATCATAAAACAATTCATTGTTACAACTAAATCTATATTAAATTATTATAGGATCTAGCTTGCTTTCAGAAATTTCACTTTTTTTATACATATAAAAATACATTAATATATATAACTATATAAATAAATATAGTTAAGATGTTCATACATATTTATTATGTATGAACATCTTAACTACATTTATTAAACAAAAATGAATTTATTATCCAAATAAACTGAAAATAAAACAAACTTTAAGTAAATGTTTTGAACAAGTATTACGGGAACTTCAACATTAGAAAACACAGTATTGCATCATTTAATTTCCCCATCGCCACCTCATACATCTATAATATTATTGAACCACTTGAGAATATTTTTAACACAAAATCTGTTGCTCCATCAATGTTTAATGCAAACACACATGCCTATTTTCCTGCAATCTTAACGTTACACTATAGCAGGATTGAAGAGCACATTGTTCTCAAGGTGTGCCTTCAGCCCCATTACACCCGGTACATTAACTTAATGATACGAAAGACGTTAGTTTTACGTTGTAATCGTTCTTAAAAAGACTTATTTTACAGTAATAACGCCTTAAGAAAGCGCTATTAGTGTTTTCCACATCGGACTACATCTGTGAGCTGGACTCTGCCGAGCAGGACACCCGCGGCCGCCATGTTTGTTCGCATGTGCTTCGCATTCCTGGGGAAATAACAAACACACGACGGCCTGAGCGAGCCGAGCCCACGCGTTCCCCGAACCCTTCCCGGTAAACATGCGAGAGAAGCAGAACTGACCAGGATCGGGATCCCTGGCCGTATTTTCTCGGATGACTCCAGTAGAGCTGCTGATGGCCCATCTCGTCTCTCTCGATCGGGATGTCGAAAAGGAAGATGAGCTGGTGCGCATGCGCAAAAAAAGACGCTCTTCTTCTACGGAATGTGAGGCATCCGGTGTAAACATCGAAGACTGCGACGCGTAGTGGCTACTTCGTGAAACCCATAGAACCGTTAGATTATTATTATTATTTTTATTTTTTTTTGTCGGTGTATTTATTTATTTCGTGATAAATACAGTAAACGTTAATCGTTATTTCAAAATAGGACTTCAGCTTCCATCTCTGCATATTTGTTAGTGTCATGTCACGTGACAGACTTTTCTTGTTTTTCTTTTCTTTTTCTTTTTTTCTTGGCAAATGAAATGATCCAGAATGAAACCGTTCGAATCTCTTTAGAGTATTTAGAAATATAAACTGGAATAACGCTTGGTGTATTTGTGAAGCTTACTGTTTAAATAATAAAGTAAAAGTATTATTTCATTTAATATTTTACATGGTATATATCCAGCTAAAAGTGTGTTAGAGAGGTTTTATTTAGATATTGATTATGTATGTGATTTTTGCTCAATAGAAAAATAATCTATTATCCATCTGCTATGTGATTGTATATACACAAAGTTTATTTTGTGTGTGGATGTGGAAAATTTCATTAGAAGGAAAACAAATGTTTTAATTTAATTAAATTAAATAATTTTGATATATGTATGTATTATTCCAATGAAAGTAATAATAATAATAATTTAACTTTTATTGTACAACTTTTTATTATTTTGGAAAAATTTCATATAAACAAGAAGAAACGATCCAAGATCCAACACAAATTGTATTCATTTTCTTCAGGAGACTAGAACACTGTCAATAAGAAAGCAATATCTTTAATGAATATACAGTTTTTTGATTAATTAATCAATTTGTAGCTACACTCTGGCATGTTTTTTTTCTTTCTATTTTGTTTGTTTGTTTTTAGATGTATTAAGATGTAAATTCTATAGGCTATTACTAAAGTTCGTTGGATAATAAAAAAAAATATATATATATATATTCTCTTTAGACTTTATTTTGCAGCCAAAACCCTAGCAAAATATTGCGATAAATGTTAAATGAATATCTCCAAGTATTCTGTCACGCATGTCACTGAAGACACCAGTTCTACAGTTCGACAGTCGGATTCAGGAAGTAAAAACTCCATTCATTTTCTCCAACAATTTTGAACAATAACTTATGAGCATTTAAAGTCAGACAGCGCTACTGTGAGCTGAGGCTGTTAATCGATTGTATTTGCTTCAGTTGAAGCCGTCAGCCTGCATTATTTCAGCTTATTTTTTAATTATTTAACAGCAGAATTCTTGGTGGAAAAACTACATTGCCCATAATGCTATACAGAAAATTACACCAATCAGTGAGTCGAAAAAAGCAACACGCGCCAAAATAGCTTTTAGCTCCGCCCACTCCCGTGAAGAAGCGCGAATCTCTCTAAGCTCTAAAAATACATGTTTGTATGTATAAAAAAATTAAATAAACTTAAAATATATAGTTTATATATATATATAATCAACATTTGTACATTTTCCTATCGTTTTAATTCGATTATGCTGTTTGCAATGCTTCATGGGATTGTAGTTCTTTCCCTCACTAAAGCTATTAAGCACACAGTCCTTTCAAAACCTTTTTTTTTTTGCAAAGTTAGTAAGGTTGTGATTCTCCTTGTAGGTTGTCTTGTTTTATGGCTTATAATGCTTTAACAAAGAATATTTTTAGATCCCTATGGGGAAAATGAATGGGAAAAATACAGAAAAAGTGGGCGGGGACAAATGCAGTCTATACTGTGCACTAGGCTATTCATAAACCAGTAACAGCTATTATTTGAGGGTACGTTTGCACAACAATTATGTACTAATAAAAAAAAAAGGTTTATTCCTTTGCGTTTTTTGCATACGACAACGTTGTCATTCTGCCAAGCCAGTAGGTGGCGATGTCACTTATTAAAGAAACTACGCGCCTGTAGACCGAACACGTAATACACGTGAGCATGACGTCACAGTTTTCACAAATTCACATTTTTGTAGTTTACACGGAGACAATAACGGTATCGTTGTAAAAAAATCGCACTTTGAAACCCGTTTTCAAAAGTTTGCGTTTACAGGCCCTCAAAACGCAGTTGTCGCGCAAATGAACGGCCAAAACGCGTAAAGTTTTTCCATTTTTAGTTGAAAACGGTGTTGTGTAAATGGGCCCAAAAAGTAATAAACGTAAATGTGCCAAAAAACAAAAACGTCTCCGCCTAGTGGTTGCGATGGCAAACTACACAAAAAAGAGTCATTTATTATTAACTATTTAATTGATCTGGCGAAAAAAATTAAATGTAAACTAAATAAAAACTTATTTAACTCTACAGGTAAAATCCCATAGATTGCGTGTTTTCTGACAAGATGAAAATGTTGTTAGGTGCAATTAGACAAATTAGTGGCAGTGAAATGACTATCATAATGATCGCTAAATATGTTTAATAGTCAATACAATTTACAACACATAGTGTTTCAAAATAGCGTCATAATCCAGCTTAAGTAAATTCGGTGATGCTTCATTTTTGTTGTAAAAAAAGTTATTAATTTATTTTATTTAATATATAGCCGCTCTGGAGAAAACCGTGATGTCATCGTCCAGCTCAGTTCAGTATGCTGCCAATGCAGCAGATCAATAATATTGTTGAATATTAATTTAAATGTATAATGTATGTATAATAATATGAGCTTTGTTGAACTATTTCTCTCAGAAGTGTAAAATGCGAATCGTGTGGGAATGTGACATCATCACGCGCGCGCTGACAGCCGAAGCCCCCCGGAGGTTTGATGAAACTGTGGGAGCCTGAGCAACATGACACACTTGAATTAAAATGCGCTTTTTATGTGGATATGACAGCCGCCTTACATGCCTACATCAGCGGTGAGGCTTTTATTCTCTTTGTATGTGTGTTTCGTGTGCATCTGAATGCGGCAGCCCAGTATTCTGCCTTACAAATCGATAGCAGCAAAGCTAACTAGTGTCAAGTGCATCATCAAAAATACACACATCGGCGTGCATATGCATGCATCGATTATCTGCCGTCTGAAATGAGGAATATTAGCCAAATATAGACGTGTTGATGAATGCAGTGGAGTATTTTTTCTTGTGTTTTTCTGGCTCGCGCAGCTGCTTGCTTTAGCTCGAGCATGAAGCTGCAATGAATGCATGCGTGTGCACGAGCTTCCGTCATACTTTCTTATTTTTAAACTTTAACCAGTGCATATTTGTGCAGTCAAACTCTTTGGCTGTTATGAAGCGTTAGAGTCGCATTAGTGAACAGTCACGCAGATGTGTCGTAAACATGGGCTCGTTCCTTCCGTATTGTGGTGTTTATGCGCCTGACCGTGCTCGTACTTCCCGCAGTTTTATTAATAGCCGAGTTGGTCAGCGAAATATGAATGCATGATGGTTTGACATCGATCAAGGCACTCACTCAGTGTTTTGTGTAGAAATCATCGGGTGTTTGTCCTGCTGACTCACTGCGTCTGTTAGGAATTGTCTGAACTTGATTGATTCAACATGTTTCACATATTTTGTTTTGCCCGTTTGAGAGGTTCAAAATATAGAGTCATGATTCAGAGAGGTTTTTATGTTGCTGTAGGTCATATCACATTGTATTTTGTTGATCTTAGACAGGGTTTACTGGCCAGATTAGACATTGACAGTACAGACCAAACAAAACATAGAGAGTCAGTAAAGGAAGGTACATGATATAAAGTATAAAATGTGGAATCTTCTATTTGCAATAATGACTTTCTATTGCTCTCTCTTTCTTAGTTGTTACATGTAAGGTAAAATCATTGACCACTGTTGCATCTTGCTGTTTTTTTTAATCTCGTGCCACTTGTACAACTGCTTAAAGGGATAGTTCACCCCAAAAATGAAAATTATCCCATAATTTACTCACCATCAAGCCATCCTAGGCGTATATGACTTTCTTCTTTCAACCGAATACACAATCGGAGTTATATTAAAAAGTATCCTGGCTATTCCGAGCTTAATGGTAGTGAATGGTACCTGAGATTTTGAAGCGCAAAAAAAGTGCATCCATCCATCATAAAAGTAATCTACACAAAGCCATGTGTTTTTGTAAGAAAAATATCCATGTTTATAACTATAATCAATGGCTTCTAGAGTCTAGTTCCGGCAGAAGAGTGACCTCTGACCCAACACATGACCTCTGACCCGGCGTATGACCTCTGACCCGACACATGACGTAAGAGTAACGTAAGCTGAGAGTCGGCGCCTCTCACGCTTCAAACAACAAACTCAAGCTCCTTCCTCATTTCTTAAAAAAAAAAAAATCCTTTTAGACTTCTAATTTATGACCAGTGTTTTGTTTTGCTCAATCTTCTGCACTTCCACGTTCATCACAACGTCAATGTCTTTTCTGTTCACCAAATGCTTTTTAATATTTGCTATTACTTCAATGCAAGTGAACAAGCGCGCCGCTATTTGTTGCGTAGTGACGTGTGTGTGTGTGTGTGTGTGTGTGTGTTCAAGTGAGCCAGAAATGCGCAGATTCTGCAATACGCTGTGTTTAATATATCATGAGGATCACGAGTTGCGCTGAATCCGCGCAGATTTGTCTTACACGAACTTCCCCAGTAAAGTGAGTAAACACAGAAACGCCAGATTGGCTCGTGATTCGACAGCGTTTCCCGCCAAAGCTCATTTGTACGCGCATCTGGCGGGTCGAGGTGTTAATCTCAATCCCTGAATGTTGCGCTCCTGTTTGTCATTGTGCTGAAACTTCACGCCAATAAATCATCAGGAATATCGCTGACTTGTGCGTCTCAAGCGCCTCTTTACGCTCGGCCTAACGCCTGTTAGGTGTCCGTGGATTTGCCTGTATTTGGTGTTGGAAATGGAAACGTCTTTAGACATGAAAAACATTTTACAATCGATTCAATGAACACTAATGTCTCAGAAATCGAACAGGAGTTTTTCACAAAAGTGACAGCCCTAGTCATTATAGGTTTATGAAGTTATGTATAATTTTCTTACACAAACGCATGGCTTCGCTTCAGAAGGCCTTTATTAACCCCTGGAGGCTTACGGATTACTTTTATGATGGAGGGATGCACTTTTATGGGATTCAAACACTCAGGGTCTATTCACGCCCATTACAAAGCTGGGAAGTTAATATAACTTTGATTGTGTTTGACTGATTTGACTGATTTACACCTAGGATGGCTTGATGGTGAGTAAATCATGGGATTATTTACATTTTTGGGTGAACTATCCCTTTAAGCTCTCAAGGTAAAACTAGTTTCTCTTTAGAAAATAATTGTAAGACCTCTGTGTTCAGTTCCATTCTTGACCTGCGCACAAGATGATAATAACAGGGCTACGTAAAAAATCTCGAATTCTCATTTTTACGAACTGATATCGATTCTTAAAGGAGCTGTATGTAAGAAATTGATTTCAATTAATCATAAAATGGCCCTGAAATGTCACTAGACATTAAGAAATCATGTACATTTCAAATAATTATATCACTGACAACAGTAGTCTGGCCAGGATATTGTCATTTAAAAAGTGCAGTTGCAGCCCTCAACTGATGTTGATGTTGTCATGTTGTGTTTTGGTCTGATGCTCCACCCTCCACCTATCGACCAATCACGAAGTCAGTAGTGTTGCGGCATCCGGGTTGCCAGCTCTGCTCTAGTTACCACAGCTGCAGCTCGCCACGTTCCTGCTGGATCCTGCTGCCGATCTGGCAACCTCGAGTCAGGGAGGAGGGGGAGGGGATACACCACTCTACAGTAATTTGACAGTGATTGCAGTACTAGTTTTGGCCACAATCTTACATACAGCTCCTTTAAATCCCAAGAATCCTAAGAAAAATGTCCTGTTTTCAGTTGATTGTTTGTTACTTTGAATATGAAACAAAGTCTCAGATTTCAAATTCTGTCCTCAGTTCAAGAGAAGCAAATGTAAACCGATCATCTCTGCTTTAATACCAGTTACAGCGAGAAATAAACATTAATGAACATCCGAAGGAATGTTGAACATAATGTAAAATGTAAAACAGCTTGTAAACAATGTCATGTAACGTCACATTTACCTCATTAAGCATATTCAGTAAGCATAACTCATTAGTCAGCGATAGGAAAATTAATTCTAGAGGGGAGCATTTTGCTAAATATATGCACCATATTACCCATTATAATTTTTAATTTTCTTAATATTTAATGCATGTTTGAATAAATCCGTCAAGTTGAAAGCCACAATTTAAATGTTTATATTTTTAAAAAAAATGAATTGGAGTAGACATACAATTATGTAATTGTACCGTTAATATTATAATAAAAATTCCTTGAGTGTATTAAGTGTTTACATACAAATTAGTTAATTTTAACCTTTAATATTATAGTAATGTATTGAATTGTATGGTTTTCGCCATTGGAGATTCTTTTCCCTTGAGAAAATTTGCCACGTATTGAACCTTATATATATATATAGGGTAAACGTACCTATTAAGCTCACCAAAATCTACATTGAGACATTTTTAGTGCACAAGATATTGGTTTTAGTACAAGAAGTTATTTTAAAATAAAATATTAATCTCTCACACTATAATATTTCATTTTATTTTAAATGACAAAAGTATTTCAATTAAGATGTACATCATTAAATATAAAAAGCCTGGCTGTGCTTAATGGGTACATTTTGTACCCTTTAAGCACACCCCTGTTCCCAATAAGCTCACAACATGTTTTATGTTTATTTTAAGCAACCTTTTTAAAGAATAATTGAAAAATGTTTTATTTGAAGGTACAGAGTCAATCACAAAAGCAACAGAACTCTAAAATCAAGCACAGATTCTAAAAGATCAGATCTGGTACTCCACTTGTGTCTAAAGCGCAACTTACGCAACTGGTGATAATTAAAGTAACTGGCGTAAGCTAGTTACTTTACTTCATAAAGTTTGAAATATGTATATTTTTGTTACACAAACTCATGACTTTGCTTCAGAAGGCCTTTATTAACTCCCCGGAGCAGTGTGGAGCACTTTTATGATGGATGGATGCACTTTTATGATGGATGGATGCACTTTTATCATGATAGATGCACTTTTACGATGGATGGATGCACTTTTTTGAGCTTCAAACTGATGGTTGCAATTCACTGCCACTTTAAAGCTCGGAAGTGTCAGGCTGTTTATTAATATAACTCCGATTTTATTCTTCTGAAAGAAGAAAGTCATATACACCTATGGCTTGAGGGTGAGTAAATCATGGGGTAATTTTCATTTTAAAGTGAACTACTCCTTTAAACACCTCTGATTGGCCAATGCGTTCACACGCTCAATATAGCTATGTCTGTGATTGGCTACAATGATCAACACTTCAAAAACATGTCTTCACCACACGCTTTTCTTATCAGTGTTTGAAAGCAGGCGTCTATCAGAGGATCCCTAATATATCCACTGATAAACTGATCCGCTGACAGACGCCTGCTTTCAAACGCTCCCGTGTGTATGTGTAAGAGCTCTGAAGTCGTTATATCAGAATAAACTATAATTCTGTCTAGATTCTGTCATCTCAAGGCTGTGAAAAAAATAAGTTATTAATTATCTTATAAAGATTAACTTAAAGTGACAACCATCAAGTCTGTTTAAAAGGTATTTACATAGACGTTCAATGTGGATGAGCTTAATTGGAGCAGCAACAATTTTGAATTAATAAATATTACGTAAAATTTAAAGCACAATATTTTGCTAAATAAATAATCTAGGTCATGTATCACTTTAATACATATCTTAATATGAACAACTCTTATTTACAATATCTGTGAAATTAAACTTTTTCTAATGGATGTCACACAGAAGCTCTGTGATTTTCATTGTAGTGCACCCTTTAAGCTCACCTTAT